ACTAATTTTTTTTTCAAAGCTCAACTTTGCTGTGATCGTAACTCTCTTTGGAGCTAATAGCAGTAATAATTTTCATAATTCAAAAAACACTAACTGCCACATACTCTGATGTTGGTTGAATGTGGGAGAAATCAGTAGGCACTTAATGTGCTTTTAAAATGTAATTCTCATAACAATACTACAGCATTTAAGAGTCTTGTGAATGGGGAGAACTTTTATTTTTAAATGTGAGTTTTCAGGCTGTAATATGAAGAGTTAAGACGTTTTTCCATTTGAATAGATTTATGACGCTTTATTATGCCAAGTCTCAGTCACAAGGTTAAGGCAGGAGAAAGAGGAGGGTGGAACAGGGAAAGGAAACCTGCAGTATGGGGACAAATATGAACTGGTCGGGGCAAGACTCTTGTTTTTGTTTTGTGGGTAAATTATCATTCACCATGGAAGAGATGGGGTTGAGAAAAGATGGTCTTTAGTTTCATAAGAATTGGTTTCTTATGATATTGAATACATTGGCATACTAAAATCATGAGCTCAAATAACACTTAACCAGCAGCTAAAAGGTTTTGTTAATAAACAAAATAAATAAATACATTTTATTTTTTAGTAATACAGAGTTTATAATTTGCTGGAGTTAGTCATCACATTCTCCATTGAAAAAGTAAATATGACAATAGTGTGTTTCCGAGGGCTGTGCGGTTTGGCGGTGGTCTCACAGCTGGTGGTCTAACCTCAGCTGCAGTTACGTTTGCATTTCATGTCACTAGCTGTCATCATAGGCTGGCAAAAAAAAAGAAGTCTGCAAAGAATAATCAATTTATCTCTATCGGTCTATCTGTCTAGCTTATGTCTTCCATTTTACTATTTAGCATTTGTCTTAAAATTAGAACAAGCCTAACACTCTATCACACACTAATGCCATGTGCATCTGCAGAGCTGCACAGCTTAAAACCCAGTAGAGATATTTGGATTCCCTGTGGCCAACTTATCTGGTTGAAATTACTTGGTATAGCCTAGAAGCATCTGAATTTCCATTACTTTATCAGTGTAGCTCGTTAATGATATAGCTTAATTTGCATACCAGTAGTACCTTTTCACTACAGGTAAGAAATTGAAATGTTCAAGGTCAATTAACTGTGAATGTTTCAAGTTGGCTGGTGCAGCTGTAACTATGAGCAGCGCTGGGAAGAGGGAGCAGTCGGTGAGAGGTTCTTTCTCCTGATGAGAATTGATGATCCGATTTTAACTTAATAGAATCACACTGATTCTTTTTTCCTTGCTGTGTTTCTGTCATGTGTTCGCTTTTTAAAATACTGGCCTGTAGAGGCATGGAAATGCAAGGGAAATACTATGAAATTCTGGACTTTAGGAAAACATATTCTCAATTCCGGCTTTAAACCATTACAGTTAACTAGAAAGGACAAGAAGCAAACTAATCAGTGTTTTCTCAGAGGTATCCGCTGATACAGATGCAATTCCAAATGTGGAATTTCCAGGCTGAGATGGTGGCATTCTAGGGGCACTTCATTCACCCTTTCTTAACTTTTCCTTGTAAACAAACAAAAATGACAAAAATACAGAGAGATGTGCAGTTGCAGCAATAAGAGAATTAAAGATGCTTGATTAGCAGCAGACCCTAGATGACTTTCAATTTGTAAAGTTTAGACAGGGCCTGGAGGGAAAGAATAAAATTAGATAGGACAGTGGAGGGAAATATGCATCCATGTGCCATGTCCATCATGTGCCTATACTTCAAAGACATGGTCCATTGTTAACTACAGGAAGCGAAGTTAACTCTACTGCCTGGTAGCTTAATCCTGAAGTTCCCTGATCTCTATGAGCATCAGCGAGTCTTTTCTACACCACTGGGAACCGCTGATTCCCACCTTTGCATCCTGACACTATGAGAGGCACTGTTGTGTCCTAGTTAGGGGCATGGTGCCTCTTGCCTGCTCCACAGGTGAGGGCAAAGTGTTCAGACTCTTGGTATCTGATGCGCCATCTACTATGTAGATTGCACTGAGAATTAATTAACAAGGCCTTCACAAAGTGCCTGACAAAAAGGACTCCCTTGCTCAGCAAATGGGAAGTAATACAGTATTAGAATAAGGAGAGGAGGATGGATGGTGTTTCATCACATCCTGAAAAATGAAAGGTGGAGGAAGCATTGATTCAGATTTTAAAATAACGCCTCAGGACCAGTTCCCACAGAGTTCAAGAACTCCCCAAGCTATTTGTGGCAGGGTGCTATTTAAAGTGTACTTCAGATCATTCAAGAACACATTCCGTATAAACAACAGTCTGCAAGGGTAGGAAGTGCCCTTTGTGGACACCAGGGCCGTGCTAAACAAATGACCCCGAGACACCCAGGGACCATGTCTATGCGACAAGCACTCTTGCTTAAAAGATGAGAATAATTCTCAGCAAACTATTGCAAGAACAGAAAACCAAACACCGCATGTTCTTACTCATTGGTGGAAACTGAACAATGAGAATACTTGGACACAGCAAGGGGAACATCACACACCGGGGCCTATTGTGGGGAGGGGATGGGGGGAGGGATAGCATTAGGAGATATACTTAATGTAAATGAGGAGTTAATGGGTACAGCACACCAACATGGCACATGTATACATATGTAACAAACCTGCACGTTGTGCACGTGTACCCTAGAACTTAAAAAAAAGATGAGAATATTGTACTTTATAAGCATAAAGGTAGGTAATATTGGTGTACAATGAAACTGCACCCAAAATCACAGGTTCTTTAAGCACAAATACAGAGAAAATTAAAAGTCAGAACACATAAACAAAAATCAAGTATGTAAAAAATTTCTGGATCCACAAAAGAGGAAGAATATTGTGCTTTTGACACATGGAGTGGAATACGCTTTTGAATAATGATTAACTTTAAGAAAGGTGGAAATTTGATGATGTATCTAATTCTAAAGACAGCATAGTAAGAAACAGGGATTATACCTGAATGCAAACAGTCATTAGTGTGATGCCGTCAAGAGAGGACCTTCTTATAATACAATGTTTAAGAAGAATTTCAACTTATTTATTTTAGATTAAGGGGTACATGTGCAGTTTGTTGTAATATAATTTTTTAAAATGCTGCTTTGACCCAGTTTTGACCCTGGCTAGGACTGGGCACTTTCCTTTCTTAGCAGCTGATGATGTCCATACTCCAACCACTTCCTTTGTTAGGTTCTCACCCTTTGGGGTCACTAAGCATCATTGCTGGGACAGGTACCAGACAACTCGTGCCCTAGTGCCTCCTAGATAATTTGTTCAAATTAGCCAATTCACAGGAAGCCCACCAAGCCTAGCTAGCTAGCCCTACCCTGCTTGTCATACAGAAGCTGCCTCCTACAGCTCCAGTTTGCCGTTATCCTGTCCCCTGGTGCATCCCCCTGTGTGGTCCTGCCTGGCGTCTTCTCTTGTTTGTAGTTGTAAGTAGTAGAGTTCTGCCCTTCATCTATCAGAGTGTCATTATGCTGTGTTCCACCATCAAAATAATCTTGAAGTCTTACAAAGCAGTTGTCAACACTGGTGTGTGCCTTCAGGTCCTACAATGGCGTATGCCCTACTATAAGAACAGACATTTATTGAGCATTTCTTTGAATTAGGTCTTGTACTTACGGTTTCATAAAATGGATCGTATATGCCAAGAATAATGCTTGAATTAAAACTATATAAATTAATGGTAACCTATATCTAAAATTCCAGACCTTATTATCAGAGCCTCAAGGTGAGCAGCAAAAGAACGGGGGAAGAAAATGTGCTAACATTCTTATTTGGGGTGCTGTGTAATTGATGTGGCATGTAAAACATTAAATGTTAGATAAATACAGATTCAAGAATGGGTCAAACCCTATTTCATAACTTTTACAATGATTGTATGTTACTTGTATTATCAGCAATGTTAAATCTCAAAAGAATTCCCCAAATTATTATATTAAACTGGAAGAATGAAGCATCTTAACAAGATATAAAGGAGTCACATCTACAGTATTTTGGTGTGTGTTGGATGAAATATAACACAATAAATTATGCTCCACACATTACTTCCTTGAACATACATCACAACTTGTATTCTTTACTTCTGAGTGATCAAGCACAGCTTCCTCTATGATTTCCTTGGTTCTCTTTTCCCCCATCCTCTTACCCACCACCCTCCTCCCATACAGGATAGAATCAGTGGTGTGTTGGTAAACTGGCTGGGGTGGGGGCAGGTGCTTATTTGCAGAGTTTGCAATTTCCGTGGTTTAAATACTCTCATCATGGCCAATTGCAAAGATGGTTATGTTTAATAACTAGCTTGCAAAATTGAAAATTTAATGATTGTCTCTCACAAACTGTTGGGAATGAGCTCTAGCCCACCACCGGATAGAGGATTTTCATTATGTTATTTTCTCCTGCACACGCCCCATCATTAATGTGTGTTACAAACATGGTTTTCAACATCTGTCCCTCCCAATAGACTGTAAATATTTTGAGGGCAGGAGCTATTTCTTGAGTTTTGTTTTCTCAGACTTATCAGTGTACTTCCTTCTCTAAACATGATCAAAAGTAGATTTTTAGTTCCACCATAGCTTTAGTTCCTTCATAGCTTGAAGTTACTTCCTTACATCCAGTCCTGGGTAGAGGGGTAGGAGAGCAGACCATTACGCAGTCATGCATGTGTGCAGTAGACATGCTAGTTCCCAGTGTTGGCAGGAATGTTCACCTATCAAGTTAAAATATTCAGCAAGACCCCTAGTTCTCCCAGTTTTAGGAGGCTGTAAAACCTAGAAACGAACACAATTAATTAACATAGACATCATACAATTATATTAAATTCTTAACTCTATATTTTTTTATGATTATAACAAGTTTCATGTTTTGGAAATTTAAGTTCCATAGAGGAATACAGTCTTACTGGCATTTCGACTGTACTAACATAGATTTTTAACTAACTCTCCTTTCTCAATTTTCTCCTGTTTCTATTTTTAATAAAAGGAGCTGGTGGCTGGTCTCCACTTGTGTCTAACAAATACCAGTGGTTGCAGATTGACCTTGGAGAGAGAATGGAGGTCACCGCTGTGGCCACTCAAGGGGGATATGGTAGCTCCAACTGGGTGACCAGCTACCTCCTGATGTTCAGTGATAGTGGCTGGAACTGGAAACAATATCGCCAAGAGGACAGCATCTGGGTATGTTCTTTAAAAAAAGACATAGTCTTTCGGGGAAAGAAGTATAGTCAGTACTGCATCTTGTTTACCCATCTCTTAAGTAGAAATACAGAATTTTCAGACTTACATTGAAAACATTTTCCAAGAGAAAATATGGTAAATGTTCATTTTCTAATACATTTTGTGGTAAATTTATGAGAATGCTAAGGGTAAATTTATTTTACAGGGTTCTCAAAAATTGAAAACAAAAAACCCTATTAGTCCATTAAATAGTGTGGGAGTCTAAGAAATAAATAAGACTTGTATAAAATTTTTTTTTGTCCAAAAACATAATAGTCTTGCATTGTTATTTATTTATTTGTTTATTTTTGAGACAGAGTCTCACTGTCACCCAGGCTGGAGTGCAGTGGTGCGATCTCAGCTCATGGCAACCTCCGCCTCCTGAGTTCAAGCGATTCTCCTACTTCAGCCTCCCGAGTAGCTTGGATTACAGGTGCCCACCACCACACCAGCTAATTTTTGTGTTTTTAGTGGAGACGGGGTTTCACCATGTTGGCTAGGCTGGTCTCGAGCTCCTGGCCTCAAGCAGTCCACCTGCCTCGGCATCCCAAAGTGCTGGGATTATAGGCGTGAGCCACTAAGCCCAGCCTGCATTGTCTTTATTTAAAATTAGTCAGAATAATTTGGTCCTTTTATTTCTTCTGATAACTGAGATTTTTGAAACCCTGTTTCTTTCTCTGGTATATGGGAATTTATATATATAATATGTGGAGTTGTATATGTATCTATAAACCCCTTATCTATAAACCCTTCTCTAGTCTCTGTAAAGTGTATAAATGTGTACATTGCTGTGTGTTCTAAACAGTGGTGCAGCTCCTGTAAGAGGGAGACTGGGAAAGAGGCATTTTGTGATAAAGCGGGTGACATTTGTAGTTGATTGATAAATAAACCTGGATATGGCATATAAACACCTGATGGAAGAAGGAAGCTAAAGGAGGTTTGATGACAAAGAAAAGACTTCTTTCTTAGTGCAGAAAAATATTTGTTTGGATCTTGTATGGGCTAAGAACAACACACTGCAATCAAAGCACTATATTTCCCCTCTGGCTGAGCTGCTGGAACCAGAGAAAATGGGTTACTTAATGAAGCATCGTTCTTAGCACATAGATGATTTGGAAGCCTATTTGGGCACATAATGATAATTTTCTTTGACCAGTCAATTGTCTCTTTTTTGAAACTTCCTACGACTCCGTCATACATTATAAACTCATTGAAGAAATGGACTGATTTACTCACTTTTGTATCTTTAAAGCTCTCGGTGGCCATTCAATCCATGCTTATTGATGTAATTGGAATTGAGAGAAGTAGCCTTGCTCTTTCTCTAGAGGGAGCAACAGTGGGGCTGGAAGAAGTTGCCTATAAGCAGTTTTAAGAGAAGCTGTTTAAAATCCAAAGCAAGTTGAAGCTGTAAGAGGAAAAACACAAAACAAAACAACACACACACCCCGAAACTCCAAACACTGGGTATTACGGTTCAACTAATTCCATGAAAGCCATTCAAACTAGAGATAAAATAAACAGTAATTATGAACCAATAACAATAAAAACGTAATGAGGTATTTATTTAACTAGATATTTGGATTATCTTCTACTCTTTTTTGAATTAAGCATTGGAATTTAAGCTAGATAAGTAGTGGCTAATGCACGCTAATATTTAGGTATGTTAATTAAAGCGTATTTTTTTTAAAAAAGTGATCAATGAATCAGGAAAATTGTTGTACTTCTGTTAAGCAAGCTTGGGGAAAGCCAAATCCAGGCACCGCCATTTACATTACTTGCTCACTCTTATTAAACTTGAGGCGCTCATGGTGAAATGGTGGCATGAATGCTATTCTTACTAATCCAAACCAATAGAAGTAAAAACATGGCATCTATCATAATCCTGTTAAGGTAACATTGCTTTCTAGACTCTGCTGTAATTTGTGGATTTACTCAGCGTCTTCCCCTCTTGAGTGTGAGCTGTGTAAATACTGTACATTGTGACCTTTCATCTCAGCATCCTCAAAGTGTAACAGCACCTGGCATGTCACAGTCAAATATTAAATGTTTATTGAAGGAATGAGTGAATAAAATGCACTTTCTTGTAGAATACTCTTCTGATCACTCTAAAAGTGACTCTCTCTTGCCCGCATCACCTCTTCTTTTTAGTACATTATGCTGTACTAATTTCATATACCAGTTAGAATGGCACATTTTTCTTTTCCCTATAAATTTTGAGCTTTTTTATGAGCCAGATTTTCTTTTTCTAATCTTAGCATTGCTGGCATCCAACATCCACTGTGGCACATGACTTTTGTTGAGTAAATAGGTGAAAGAACAAATAAATGAATGGATTTGAATATGTCAGTCTGCTAATCTGTGCCTATCTTTGTCCAAATTTCTGGAAGGTATCGAAAGTTCATTAACTCACTGAAGAAGACTGGGCATTGTGGCTCACACCTGTAATCCTAGCACTTTGGGAGGTCAAGGTGGGAGGATCACTTGAGGCCAGGAGTTCGAGACCAGCCTGACCAACATGGTGAAACCCTGTCGCTACTAAAAATACAAAAAAGTTAACTGGGCGTGGTGACATGCACCTGTAATTCCAGCTACTCGGGAGGCTGAGATGGGAGTATTGCTGGAACCTGGGCGGCAGAGGTTGCAGTGAGCTGAGATTGCGCCACTGCACTCCAGCCTGGGTGACAGAGCGAGACTCCATTTCAAAAACAAAAACAAAACAAACAGCAACAACAAAATCACTGAAGAGATAAGTTATATATATTAGAGCAAACCAAAGAAAGATTGAGCGGAACATGCAAATATTAGGTACAGTTTCCTAAGCATGTGGAAATGGACAGAATGTGGAGATCATTGTAAGCTGAATTTATCAAAGAAGTAAGGCTTACATAGGTCTTGAAGAAAGCATTATAGTTTAGATTATGGAAGGATTAAGGAGGCTATTTTATGAAGATGGAAAGATGTGAAAAAAGCATGGAGATTGGGAATATCCAGAGTTACGGTTTCCTGTGTAATAACTAGTGAGATTACTGGTCAGATTGGACTATCAAGTTTTGGAAAGACTGGAAGATAATTTTGGATATGGCAAAGAAAGTGGACAGATAACTTTAAATGCCAAGATCAAAGTTAAGACTTAGTACAATAGGCACCATAACCACACATAACATAGTTAAGTTGTCGTGTAGATAAAACAACCCCAAGTCTCTGAAAGTATATGTGTGTGTGTGTATATATGTATGTGTGTATATGTGTGTGTATATGTATGTGTGTGTATATATGTATATATATGTATGTGTGTATGTGTGTGTGTATATATATGTATATATGTATGTATGTGTATGTATTTCCTGTTAATCCTAGGCGGCTTCAAAGTTTTATTCTACTCTATGGTTACTCTGGTCCCACTTGAAAGGAAACTGTCTCTCTGTGAATGGCTAATTGTTGAAGCAGGAAAATTGAAATATGGAGAATTGTGCCCTGTCTCTTGACTTTTCTGCCTGGAAGAACACAGACCACTTCAATTTGCATTTTTCAAGCCAAAGAACAATTTCAAATTGATGTACATCATAAAAAAACTTAACCCTTTGTTACATTTTACAAATATGTATTTCCCAACTTTTTGTTTTCTGGCCCAGTTTTTGTAGATATTTTAGGATGTATACCAATTATACCAAATATGCCAATTTCCTTTAAGAGCTTCACAATCTGCTCCAGATGATACAAATAAGTCTACAAAAGAGGGTTAGGAAACACATAAGGCATTACACAAATATGTGATACAGAAAGAAAGAAAAGACAAGTGTTATTGGTTTAGGAACAAACACAATAAAAACAATCAATACGGATTGAAATGCTGCAGGGAAAATGCTTCGTTCTCTCCTCATTCGATCTCACTTCGAATGCCAGGCAGAACAATGACTTCCACGTACCTGAAATAGTTAATAAAATGCTCTGCCACTTCTTACAAATAATCCTGAAGAGGAAAGACAGACTATTTTACAATCTATACAGATCATTTAGTAGAAATGCAAACTTGATAGATACGTGATATTTTAAAATATTACACGTTGAAATATTTAGTAAAAAATTTTTAGCGCAATGTTCATAAAATATAATTTATACAAAGTATTCTGCTGAATGGCAAATGTATATTTTATGAAAGTTCAGAAAATGCAAACTACTAAACTTTCTCTTCAGATTGAACACAAAATTCCTCAACATCTATAACAAAAAGATTCTCTTCAGTTTATTGCACATGATTGGAAAAGTAAACATAAGGTATAATTTTCACTCACTTAAGAACAATTGTTGAGATATAATGAAATCAACATCTTAGAAATTATTTTAAGTAGATAACATGTGCAGGAACTTTACAGGCAAATTCTCCAAATCCTTTCTGATAAATGCCTAAGATTCTTCTGCACTGCAGACTACAAAGGCAATGAATGGGGTGGTACCAGTCTTATAAACTGAGTAAATATGATTGTTAAGCACAAGAATAGTTTGCTTTATTTTAAAATAGAGTTCAGTTGTACTTGATTTTTCAAACAAAAACCTTTATTGACTGTATGAAGTTAGTATCTCTTTATTTTTGTTTTTTGACTAGAAGTGTCCAGTGTAATGGTTCTAGGTTTGGCTAGTGAAAGACACAGAGACCCTGTGGCATGGTATAGTCAGTTAGGCAGAAGTACTACCTGTCACAAAATATTCAGGCTATTATTATCACTGCGAATGATTGAGTTGTCAACTCTGTAAGCCAGACAGGGTAGAAACACTACCTGCAAAGATTTCCACATGCATTTGTTTTAAGTCAAATAAGTGCCTAGGGATAGTTTAATAGAAAATCTGAGGAGGCAGAAGTGCAAAAGAGATATATGCTGTAGGGTAGGTGACTCTCCTCCTTGTGAGTGGCATTTTTCCTTCTTTTATGTTGAGCCCTTATTCTCTTGACCTAAGCCTACAAG